AATGGATTGAAATTCATGTGAAATATTTCAACAATATATATAGAAATTGAAATTATAATGAAATGAATTGCTTTTAAGACAAAAATAGTGATTGAATTCTTAGTATGAATTTCAGGACACATTTACAAATATTTGTATCCATAATTTCCTTTTAATTATTTTAACTTTTGATACTTTCTTTCAACAGTTTATCTTTTTCGTCATTTTGATGGTTACTGTTATTATAAATATACTCTTTATTGTGGACACAACTCAAAGGCTTAGAACCGAATCAAAAATTAGTGGTAAAACTATTCATTTAAACTTTATTTCCGAGTCTATAATATTTGATTCGTAACTTTACAGACGATTCTTCCGCAAACGATGTCAGACCTAATAGTCTTAAACTACAAGAGAGTCATAACAGAGTTCTTAAAGTGGAAGTACTGTCGAGTCAATCAAAAGTGTCTGTTATTGTGGACGGAGCGACAGTAAGTGATCACGTTTTGAAATTTAATTGTCATAATTAATTACATTATTGTTTTTGAAATGTGTGCAGATATTAGACGATTCCGATGAGAACAAAGGCCGTGGTATTCATGTGCTTGTATTGCATCAGTCGACCGGTTCAGTGATGGCTCAGCGCTTGTTCGACACGTATTCGCCACACGAAGACGAGGCCATGTCTTTGTTCCTATCGATGATAACTGACGGCCGGATCATAATTATGTGCATCAAAGACGAGGGAACCTTTCAAATGAAACAACAGACTCGCGATGTGCTCAAGAGATTGGGTTCGTTGCGATCGCAACAGATTGGTTGGCGAGACATGTGGGCAATGGTCGCCCAAAAGGGGGGCAAAATGTTGGCCGAGAGTTACAACCGGTCGCCGGAGTTCAACAGTTGGGGCGCACCTGTGATGCTCAGAGTGGAGATCGGCTTGAGTTCGGCCCAAGAGAGTGAATGTCAGGCTTGGGGTGAGGGCGAGGACAGTGAGCGGCGCAAAAACTTTTGCTCCCATATCGAGGGCTACGGCAGTGTCTGCAGCTGTTCAGAGCCGGCGCCGCTCACACTCACCGGTCGTGTCAATCATTCAGATCCCGTGGCAGCGGTTCCCGTCGCTATCGTCGCTTCCAATCGACCCCATTATTTGTACCGTATGTTGAGGTCGTTGTTATCTTCCGGCGGATGTAATCCATCGATGATCACTGTCTTCATTGACGGCTACTTTGAGGAGCCGTTAGAAGTGACAAAACTGTTTGGTTTGCGAGGCATTCAACACACGCCTATAGGTGTGGGTAACGCGCGAATCAGTCAACACTATAAGGCCAGTCTCACCGCGACATTCAATTTGTTTCCCGACTCTAAATATGCCATTATATTGGAAGAGGATTTAGACGTTTCGCCAGATTTTTTCAAATATTTTTCACAAACAATGAGACTATTAGATGAAGACGAGAGCATCTACTGTATCAGCGCGTGGAATGATCAGGGATATGAACACACCAGCGCTGACCCATCACTACTCTATAGAGTGGAGACAATGCCCGGTTTGGGTTGGCTTCTCAGCCGACGACTATATAAGCAACAACTGGAACAGAGTTGGCCCACACCTGAGAAACTATGGGATTGGGATATGTGGATGAGATTACCGGACATTAGACGCAAACGCGAGTGCATTGTTCCCGACGTCTCGCGAACCTATCATTTCGGTTCCTCCGGTCTTAACATGAATTCATATTTTCAAGACATTTACTTTAAGAAACACGCCTTCAATACAATGCCTGACATTCAGCTGAAAGACATTGACAGGTAAGACATTCGCAACCATTTAATCAATTTTAGAAATTAATTTTTGGTCTCTTTTGCGACATTAGTGTTAAGAAAGACAATTATGAGCGACAAATACACGGACTGTTGCGGAGGGCCATAGTTGTGGACCACTCGAAGAGTCCGTGCGAACACAACTTCATTCCGGACACCAAAGGCCAGATATATGTGGTGTTCATCAAAATGGTTGCGCCCAAAGACTACTCCACGTGGCTATCGGTTGCCAAATGTTTCAAGATATGGGATTTGGACCCTCGAGGGTATCACAACTCGATGTGGAGGTTCTTCTATAAGCAGAATCAGGTGCTTGTGGTGGGCGTACCCAACAGTCCCTACTCTTCCTTCAAACCATCACACGTGACGCCAATCTATTTGGAGGACAAGAAGATAGACGTGAATCGATTGAAATGAACATCAAATTAGTTATAAATACTTTCGTTGTTAAAATAATTGTTACAAAAAAAAGAGTTTCACTGTATATTAGACAACATCTGCCAAACAGTTTTGTATGAATATTGATAAGCATTTTGTTATGAGATTTAGGAGTGAATGCAATGATTAGATTAAGGCATATATCAAATGCCAATGAAATCAATAATGTTTGGGACAAACGGTATTGGCTTTCGAAACGAAGAAAACATTTTGTGCCAAACATATTGTCTAATATATGGACAGCACTAACAGCTTAAGTCCCAATCAAATCAATGACTTAATTGTGCTGATTATTGATGGCATCTGTGATATGATATTTGTATTGATAATTGTTTTATATTTTCAATTTATTTTGCGATCAAAAGCATTGCAAATCTTTAATATCGTTTTAATCGCTAGTCTCTCATGTATTGATCATAAGGTCTTATTATTGATTATTATTGAAAATTTAAAATTATTACAAAATATTGATTGAATTGTAAAACACAATCTATTAATTATACCTTGTTTAATATATCCAACATTATATATAAATATATTGAAGTCAAGACAATACAAGATATGAGTTTTAATGTAAATTTTTTAGTTTTAATTTTATTAATTTAAACCATTTTTTGCATTACTTTATATTTAATTAATTTAAATAAAAATAAGAAATAAATAAATGTGTATTAATTAATTGATAATTAATTGGTTTGTAATAATAGAGAGCGTGTGTTTAGCCATAGGCTTCCTCGGCGTACTTGATCTTCAGTTTTTCATATTCACTCAAATACGGGAATTTCGGGAAACAAAAGGCTCGAGTCATTCCTGTCTCCATGTCTTGCTGTGTAATACATGGCTGACCGTCGCATGACTTGCCCTCTTTGGCCGAACCGATGTCTTTGGATCCGTCGCACGAATATATTGTCCGAAAATTGCAAGTGGTTTGCGGTACAGAAGTCATGAGATATCCGCCGCAAAGACTGCCTTTGATTTGTTTGGGACACTTGCAGTCCTGTGACGACAATCCAAACCAATGGACAATCAAGAAAATGACAATTACTTTATTTGTTGCAAACATTTTCTACAAAACCATTACACAGAAAATGGTTGAAAATATGTTTTGAAATTTAAGTCATATTTAAAATTTAATTGCAATAAATTTTAATTGGTTTTCAAACCATGTATTTCGTCATAATATAGAGAATAAGCAGTTTTGATATTTTCTCATAAATAATCAAAATCTGGATTTCAAGACATTTTTAATTCAATTCTTCAGAGAAAACATTTTGAAATTTAAATAACAGATTCTTTGTGTCAAATAAATGATCGATTCATTGAATGTGACAACAGATAGACAGCAATGTCTGAGTCTAATCACATCTCCGTGTCCTTCGTCTTCGGCGGCCAGATCTGGATCTTCGGCGACGACTTCCCCCTCTTCGAGACCGTGACCTTCGACCTGATCTTCTCGGTTCCAATTCGATCATCAGAAACCTCCTTCCAGTCGCTCTCATCCCACTTCGGCGACGACGTCGAGCCGTTTGCGAGACTTCTCCCGTCGACCGCATCGGTATTGTCTCCACCGTCTGTTCCATGTCTTCACTTGATTTCAATGTTAATAATTTTGAAGTGAATTCTTATCGAATTCGTTGGGAAATCGGATTGAATTTGAAATCATAATCTGAATTGAATGCTCACAACAATACTGTTTGGCGATTAAATAGTATATCAATTTTATAATACATTTAATTATTTAGTTTTTCAAACATTGAATTAATACTAACCGTAATATCGATTCAAAAGACAATATAAAAACGAATAAAAAAATGAGTGATAAAAATATTAAACAGAAGAATGAGTTGCAAAGTGTGTCCAAACGGAGACAACAATCAGATGAATCGTTGGCTCTGGCCGTCAATGTTGAGCATTCGGATGGCCAGGAAGTGATTCAACTGCACCCCTATTGACAATAACTTAGAGATACAATTGAATCACTCCCCGGCCATCCGAGAGTACAATAGGCTATTGTTGTCCACCGATTGTCTGTCCTGTCCGTGAATTGACTCAATGTTTGGATCAATTGATTGAAGAGTTTGTCTTTAGCTACTGAAATAACTACTAGAGCTATACTGAGACCCTTTCCAATGAGACCCCAGTCTTATATGTCTCTCATTCCTTATCCATCAGACAATGGGTGAGTATATTCTCAAAAATTTTGAGTCAAAATGACACTCAAAGTGATGATAGTTTTTTCCAAATCTATTAATCATATTATAATTTGATGTACTTTTTACAGACAATTGAGTTGTGTTTACAGTAATCTCTTTAGTGATTAGTAAAACTTAATACAAATACAAAATATTACTGGAAATGATAAATAATTCAATATTATTAGTCACTATTGAATAGTGGATTACTTATAGATTGTCTAAATGTAATTTTATTGGCACTTAA